ATTCCACATCGATTTAGTGTGTGAAATAAATTTCAGACTCGACCATTTTTACATACAAAAGTCAGTACAACGAATCGATCGATGGGGAATCCGCACAAAAGTCCAAATTTGGGGTAAAAGAAAGACAATATTGCGAAGTACGTACTGGATCCTTTGACTATGAAGTGCATAGTAGAGACTACTCTAGTACTTCGAAGTATGACAAACGAGTGTAAACTACATACTAACGTGATCGACCATTGATCGGCCAAATGACCATCGATCGGCCAAGGTGTTTCGTCCAATTGAAATTAATACGATGTTTCATTGGACAAAATAAATCCTTGTGATAAGTTTTACCTGTATAATATGATGGAGGTAAACAATTTAACGTTGAACAATACTTGCAGCTCTTACTCTGAATACGTATACCTGTTGAAATTTAGTAAACCTTTGAGACATAGTATTTGAATTTTTGGAGCGAAAAATTGACCCAACTTTTTTCAATACTTAATTCAAGTCTAAATTTTGGCCGATCAATGATCGACTGTGTAAAGTGCCGAACTTTGACATTTTTTTGGCCTGCCAAGTATTGTTTAAATTGATACATTTGAATATGCCGCGAAAGAGCTTTCCGTCAGCTTTCCGGAAATGTTGGTTTCAATGAAATGCCATGAAAACCAATTGAGATATTTTAGTTTGAAAATTTTGAAAATTTGGCTGATCAATGGTCGATCACGTTAGTATATTCAAAATGAAGTCAAAAATATTCATAGCTCTGTACATTAATAAGGCAAAAATGTCACACTCCAACATCAACAGTGACCATTACAGTACCACCAAAACATAAGTACAGTACCGTACTTGTTAACAGACATATTGGAAGAGACGATATCATGTCAAGACACTATGGACCTCATCTGTAAATAAATATTCGAATTGACAATGCAGAGCTGTCGCGTATATATGTGTATCGAATACACGCAAATCTCATATTGTAAATCGACCACAGTGGCGTTCAACGAGATAACATCAGAGCAAACCACTACAGCGATTTATAAGTAAGTTGATTGATTATGTGGGGGTAGGGCAGCACAATCCACTCTCAAAAGAGCGGCGCAAGGACTGTGTAGTCCTCTGGACAACCTGTCAGGATTGTAGTTTGGTGGCGTCTGTGGAATATTGTGAATGGCTATGTATTAATAGTTCGTACTACTAATATTAGACTACTAGCTGCTTGCCGAGACTTAACCTTCCCGTGATTGCATATTGACCATCCAAAGTGTGAACAAATAGTTCAAAGTGTATGCGTCAAAGAACCTACACTCACAAAACACTAAACACATCATACTGTATAGTACTCAATTGAGTACCGAAAATGTAGCCCAAACGCCGAAATTCGTCATCCCGTTACTCAATTGAGAAATTTAATTGAGGATCATGAGCTTTGACATACTGGTACAGTGTTTCCTATGTCCTCATTTCAAAACGTTCCCTCCATTGTCCATCATGTCGTCGTTACATGCAACTTCCATGGCAAGGCGAAGTCCTTCCGGCGCCATGTTCGTCAAGAAGCTGTTCGACATGATGAGTATGACGCCGCCGTCTGTTGGCGGATGGTGCCGCGGCGGCAGCGCCATTGAGATCAAGTGCCCAGTCGACTTTGCCCAGCTCATGCTACCCAAGTACTTTAAACACAGCAAGTTCTCGAGCTTTGTGCGCCAGCTCAACTTTTATGGGTTCCAAACGTGCAAGTCCGACGTGGTGTTGCTCATCGCCCACGAGTCCCAGCACAAGACACTGGTGTTCCGCCACCCCCACTTTAACCAGCACAAACCCCATCTCATGACTAAAATCAAGCGGAAAACCAACTTCTCCGAGATCTGCGACACCGTCGATGAAGTAGAAGAGCTTCGCCACGACGTGTCCGACATCAAGGCCACGCTGGTGGCACTGTCGACTCAACTAAGCCAACTCACTCAGATGATCTCGAGTGTCCAGCAGAAACCCCCGCCAGCGAGCTACCATCCCCTTCAAATACGGGATTCTCTCATCGAAGCATTGGAATTCCTAGCCGAGGACAATGCTGCCGCTGACCAATTGCAAGACCCGAGTGCACTGGCGCCGTTCTATGTCCAGTGCGATGGGGTCGACGCTGCTACTGGGTACCAGTGTTAATTGTACTCCGGAGTACATCAGATCGATCGATAGTTTGTACTAACTTAGTATTTCGAAATACATATAGTACTAATCAACGCTGCCGAGCCATCTTCTAATGGTTCATAGGCAACCAACTCACGTAGTTTTGGCGGCTGTACATTCAATACTTGGACATCTACCTAACGTTACCGGTAGTTTCGAGATTGAAGCTTACCGTAAATAGTGAAATTGGACAGAAATTGATTGTTTGAAGCTGTTTGTGGTTGAACTGGCGTGAATGATCATGAATTATAACAGGAAAAGACTTATCGAATTCATAACACTCGCGAATAGACCTTAATTTTGGCTTCATAACGTTAATGTAGAATTATACTGTAATCCGATACAGTAGCCCCCACAATAGCGAACCTTTCATCGCAATCCGATATTAGAGGTATCACAGGACTAAGAGGTATAAAATGCTACAGGATATTTGCTTGGGTACCAAGTCTCTGATTGGTCAGAATAATCCATATGTTTTGTCAAACCACGACAACGAAAGTGCCCTGATTGGAAAATGGATAACATATTCGAATTCAGGAGAGGGTTGATACCCTGGCGGGGGTTGATACCCTGGCGGGGGTTGATACCCTGGCAAACTCCAGAAGACAAAACCCATCACATTACAAGTTATTAAAACTATTAGTCAATTCGTATACTACTTCGTCAAGTATTCCAGTATGCAGTATGCGGTAAGCCACCCCGACATAGTTGACTTGGCAGGTAGTTTGGGCAGCTGGAAAGCCGCGAGCGCCCATTGGCGCAGGTGGAGGCCTCGTAGCGTTCCTCGAGCAACGTTGATTTTTGTTCGTCAGCCGTAGCCTCGACGGGTGTGGCGACGGCATGATTTGAGTACCAAATACTTGTTTATCATGTGTTGTGGACTATTTCAAATTTTGAAAAAAACTCTATAAACGGATGTATGAGTCTATTGGAATTTTATACATTTGGAAAGGATATCGACTTTACGTGGGTTCGGTATTGTGGGGGACTACTGTACCTACACGTTAATAGGATTTAGCAAATGCAAAGTACAGTTTCGTACTTTTTTCCCTCTTTTTTGCGATTTTTTACTCAACACACTACAGGGAACGACGCTGAGTAGCGGCGTGATGAGGAGTTGTGATTGGACAGAGACGCGGTTCGAATTGACCAATTGAGGCTCACAAAACCAAAATATAAAAGAAGTATCGAATGAAAAAAATGAGCTTTGAATATAAGATTACAAAGGCTATGAATATAAAGAGTAATTAGTACTAGGAAGACATCGAAGCCATGGTTTTCAAGTCCTCATTCTTGCAGGAAACTAATTATCACAAGGGATCAAGGTCATAAAAATGCCTATTACACATATTGCATTACAACGCTGTGACACATGGACTGGATTTGCACCCCTCATGGGGACGAACAAAATGTGATATGACCCCTTATAAAAATACTACAATTTAATATTCTATTCAAGTAAAGAAAAAAGTATACTGTATGGGTCAATGGAACTACATGCCATAGAATACACAACTCCCCTCCATAATTGGTCCCGAGTTAGCCGGTCATTACAGGTGCATGTCGAACAGTCGTGCCTTCAGCTAAGCGTACGACATCGAGCTTTTGGGTGAGCGTCGGTCAGTGTCGAGGCTTCGTTGGCAGCACTGTGGCTGCAGGTAGCACTGACATTCAAGGTTATCAAGTAGTGGGGTGGAAAGTTGTTTAACTTGTGCTGGGAAAAATTCCGCCAATCATAGTCGAGGTAACGATATCGATGATTATAATTGGCTGATTTGAAAATTTATTCCCGCGCCGTTACTCAGCGTCGTTCCCTGTATACCTTGCCGTCTTTTCTAAATCGTAAAAAAAAACGAGGTAAATCGATTTTGATTGGCTCATGCTATATCTGAAAACTACTTGCAACTTCCCCTCCTTCCACTGGATTTCATTATTGATACAAGTCAAGCCAGTAGTGCAATTAGTTACGACATCCACAGTTTTGACTTACTGTATGCAAAATCAAAAGACTTGCAATACAAATGCACGTGGTTATTCGTATATGTATGCAGGCCAAACTTGGGACGCCGTGAAGAGCTCGAATGTTGTTTTGCCCGATATAAGGATTCCAATATAAGGATTTCAATATGTCTGATTCAACACACTACTGTAGTACCTTGTCCTCCCGGTATACTAGTACTATACAGTAGTTAGTCGTGAGATCTATCCTGCATACTAGTACGTAACATGATTCATGTAATTCCCAGCCAGCTTGGCCTACAGTACTTTCTGAGTGCCATAACTCGTCACCCATTCATCCGATGAGGCTGCGAAAACATGCATTTTGAAGATCATGACGAACTTTATAACTTTATACAGGTCCCATCCTTTGTATCGCATACTACACCTTTTTGCAGTTAAGTTGGACGAATGCCCGATATATTTGGCCGTACGCCCGATATATTTGGTGGTGTGCCCGATATAATTAGCCGTGTGCCCGTTTAATTTGGCACACGGATGTCGTGTGCCTGATATAATTAGCCGTGTGCCCAAGTAATTGGCCATGTGCCCGATGAATTGTGCCATGTGCCCGATGAAAATGGAAATCACGCAATAAAAAAGTCAATTCAATATAGAAATGGTCGTCAAACGATAGATGCCGCATCGTTGCTGTGACGTCACATACCAACGCCCATGTTGCCCATGGCCTCCGCGCGTCCATCGTGGGTGCGTTCCTTGAGGTAAATCGAAAAATGAGCTCTGGGCGCGACAGAATCAAATTTTGGACAGAGTTGAAGTATGGACGAAACGTTGGAGTAAACTATACTTTATTCAAGTATAAATTGCCTTCGGGCGTTTTCCTCTGAACTGCAACCACATGATGTTTCCACCAAAACTGATTTGCACTCGATGGAATATAATTATTTGAGTTATTTCAATTTCATCGGGCACACGACACAATTCATCGGGCAGATGGCCAATTACTTGGGCACACAGCTAATTATATTGGGCACATCGCCAAATATATCGGGTACATCGCCAAATATATCGGGCGCACGGCCAAATATATCGGGCATTCGTCCAACTTAACTGCAAAATGGTGTAGTGGTCCATTTGCTCGTCGAATTTCTAAAATTGAAATTTCCCTGTGTGAATTTAATTCCCGTCCAGTAATAATGTATGCTTGATTTCAATCCTCAGAACCTGTAAATAATGATATATATAAAGTGTTCAAGTAATTAAATTTAGAAGTGCAACTAATATAAACACTGTATTACATGACAAGCAGATATTAAATCTTACATGTACAGTACCTAATTTTGTCCAATCATTTTCCTTGTATGATTGTGATTATTGGCCATTTGCTGACCGGAAATTACATGAATCACCTTAGTTCTACACTGTACTGTAGAACCGCCAAATCGTCTTTTTCTGCCGTGGGATTCAATGGATACTACTACGTAGTAATTAGCACATATAAAAAAAGAAAAAGAAAAGAAAAAGCCTATCGTACGATCTGGTCAGTAGTTTTCTGGAGTTTTGTGATTGGGCCAAATATTTCAAGTCTTCGTCCAACGCATGTGATTGGCTGTTGGACATAGAAAGGCTGCAATCTATGCACGGTCGCTCATCTTTCAACATGAAGTCGTCCGCGCCCATGTTCCTGCAGAAGCTGTTCGACATGCTACATGCGATGCCGTCCTTCCTAGGCGGATGGTGCCACGGCGGGAGTGCGTTCGAGATCTCCGCGCCGCTCGAGTTTGCCCGGTTGGTCCTGCCCCAGTACTTCAAGCACAGCAAGTACACGAGCTTTGTCCGACAGCTCAACTTCTACGGGTTTGTCAAAGGCGCCAAGGTCTCGGACGTGGCCACCAGTGTGGTCTTCCAACACGTCCACTTCGTCCAGCACAAGCCCCACCTCATGCGCCGCATCAAGCGGAAGACCAACCATTCGAATGAAGCGTTCAATCATGACGCTGTCGAAGCGGTCGACGAGTTACGAAGGGATGTGGAGGAGATCAAGGCGACTCTCAGCGGCCTCGACGCGCAACTCAAGCAACTGCAAGAGGTCGTCAAGGTCACCATGACCCTCCTCGAGCCGTTCCAGTTCAAGCCGCCGCCGCCACTGCACCAGGAACTGCTCGAAGAAGCGATAGCGTATTACATGCCTGCCCATAGTGAAGACGACGACTGGAGTAGGAGTAGCAGTCATCATCGGATAATGCACCAAGAGTAAGTAGCCTTGGAATGGCATATATATAAACCGCAGTGTATTGATGATAGGTATGGGCGTCTGTTTGTCTAGTAGCAACGCGCTCGACGTTGATCTCGCGCTTACTTCAATCGCTTGGAGCGGCGGCGGACGTGCGAGCAAGGACGCTTGCCGTGGTTGGCCTAAGATCGATGATGGACGGGTGAAGTAGGGTCGGTGGAAGTCGCGCATCATGCATGAACATGTGTACCTTCTTGGGCTTGCGGGAGTTTCTACCTAGCAGTTGCATGCCAATGATGGGTTCAGACGACAAGCGGAGGTTCTCCAACACGGCATCCAGGGCATCATCCGCTTGGAAGAGAATGGGCGGGCGGACCGGCGCTTGTTGCGCGGGGAAGCCGCGGGATGCAACCTCGAAGGACGAGAAGGCAGCTAAGAGACTGTCATGATCTTCGTGCCAGTCACATGGACTCCTTACCTGCGCTGGGCATCTTCAGAGCCGGCGCGGCAACAGCGCTGCGGGCGACGCGCAACAGAGCTTGCATGATGTAAACTGCTTTTACTGGTTATCAGGCAACTGGATCGAATACAAACCAGGAATTTTAATCTGTATACTATCCTCAAGATAATCACGGAATTTCAATAAAAAGCTTCGACGTATTGTGTTCCAACGGTACCTTTGATATTTTATATTTGGCCCTTGCCCAATGATATATTCAACATTTGACGGAATGCCAAATATATATATATATATATATATTCAATTATGGAGAACGTTGATTCGATAAAGTTTCAACGGGTACTCGAAATTGGATTTGTGGCTGGTTGTTCCATCCACCAAGAGCATCATGGCAGCACTCGTGGCGATGGAAGACGTTCGCGCGTACCTGCAGGTAGATGACAAGCTCCTGCATGTATCCTTGACAAGCATATGCACATTAGTCGCAAGAGTCCATGGAGGCGCAGTTTGAAGAGGACGTGGCGCGCAACCCGTACTCGATCGAGACATGGACGTCGTACCTCAACTTGCTGCACACGAAACCCAGCGGACACCGTTTGTCCAAGGAGCGTGTGGCGCTGTTTCGCCGCGCTCTGTCGTACGTCCCATTGAGTTACAAGCTATGGAAGCGTTTCCTGGACGAAAGCTACGCGTTGGTGCGCGGACTTCGCATTGACCGCCCCGAACTCGTCGAGCTCACGCTCTTGTACGAAGACGCGTTGGTGCATCTGCACAAGATGCCGCGCATATGGCTACAGTACCTGTCCCTTCTCGACCACCTCCGCTGGGGCACGCGTACCCGTCGCGTGTTCGACCGCGCGCTTCGAGCGCTCCCCATCACCCAGCACAAGCGCATCTGGGGTCCATACCTCGCGTTCATCCATGCGCAGGGAGTTGCGTCCACGGCGATCCGCGTCTACCGCCGCTTCCTCATGTTCGATCCGTCCGGCCGCGAAGAGTACGTCCGCTACCTCCTCTCCATGGAGCTGTGGGAAGAGGCCAGCATCCAGCTCGTGCATGTGCTCAACCAGCCGCATCCCCCGTCCTCCCGCCATGCTCTGTGGATGGAACTGTGCAGCCTCATCAGCTCCCACCCCGACGACATCAGCTCCGCGCTCAACGTCGACGCCATCTTGCGCTCGGGTGTGCATCTGTTCTCGGACGAAGTCGGCCGCTTCTGGTGCGCGCTGGCCACCTATTACATGCGTCTTGGCATGTTTGAAAGTGCTCGGGATGTGTACGAAGAAGGCTTGGTAAGTAGAGAAGGAATCAAGTTTGAAGGGTTTTTTTAGCGATTTTTTAGCGTTTTTTTCGAGGTTTTTTACAAAAATCGACACGTTTTTTCGTAGGCCGCGGTGCTGACGGTGCGCGATTTTTCGCTCATTTTTGACGCTTACGTCAAGTTTTTGGAAGCGCTGGTCACGGCGGAAATGCAGGTATATCGAATATTATTATGTTGAATATATATATATATATTTGGGGTGGTGGGGTCTTTTCAGAATATATATAGTATGGTATGCACATTTCAAGATGAACCTACTCTAGACGACTCGCTGTGATTGGTTGAAATCATTTCATGTGCATTAAATTGATTGGCTAGTTCGTTGGCCATATATTCTCCATCTATTCCTTCGAATTCTACTCAGTCTATTCCCTAGAGTGATATTTGACCCACTCATATATAATAATTACTTTTGCAAGTTTTTCATTGCTTTTCGTACTTTTTTTCATTTTTCCTGCAGTGAATCATCCTTATCCTCATACATCATGTAGATATATACTATTTCGAGTATGTCCCAGTTATCCAACCCATTCTCACTCTCTCTCTCTCTATATATATATATATATATCCCATCATATTCATTCTCACACACTATATATATATATATATATAATAGGACCCAACTAGCCCTGAGCTATCGCGTACTTTGCATCTGTACGAAGACTTGGCGGAGCGGCGGCCTCTGCTCTTGAACGCCGTGTACCTTCGCCAGAACCCCCACTCTGTAGCCCACTGGCACCAGCGCATCGCACTCACTAGTACTAGTGCTAGTACTACTAGTAGTACTCCGTCGCCCATCTTGATTGTGCAAACGTACACGGAAGCGTTGAAAACAATCGACTCGACCTTAGCCGTGGGCGCTTTGAGCTCGCTTTGGATCTCATTTGCCAGCTTTTACGAAGCCCACAATGACGTGGCAAACGCTCGCGCCGTCTTTGAAAAAGCGCGACACCGTTTGGCGTCGTCATTCCGATCTCTGGACGAACGTGCGGCTATTGTGTGCGCGCAAATCGAGCTCGAGCTGCGACACGGGGCGTACGACGCGGCACTCGAGTTCGCGCGCGCCGCGTGCCGCCAAAAGCCAGTGATGCGATCGTTAAAGCTGTGGCACTTGCGGGTGGATCTCGAGGAATCGCTGGGCGATGTGCCATCCACTCGAAGTGCGTACGAGCACTTGATTGACCTCAAGCTGGCCACGCCCGTGTTGGTGCTACAGTTTACGGCTTATTTGGAGACCCACGAGTACTTTGAAGACGCGTTTCATGTGTACGAGAAAGCCGTGCAGCTATTTCCAGCGTTCCCCCATGCAAAACCCATCTGGACGGCGTACCTTGCGGCATTTACCCACAGATATCAAGGCACTAAGCTGGAGCGGGCCAGGGATTTGTACGACCAGGTGCTCAATGTGGCACCAGTTGCCGATATGGCCGATTTTTACAAACAGTACGCTGCCCTCGAAGAAAAGTATGGACTGTGGCGCAATGCGCAGACGATTTATGAGCGTACGTGATATATATATATGTATATTTATTTATATTTATATATATTTATGTATGTATTTTGAGGCTAAATACTTCGACTGTGGCGCAATGCGCAGACGAGATTTATGAGCGTACGTGATGCATTGATATATATATATATATAGTTATATATTTATATAGGTTGATTGTCCTTTGAGTCCAAATACTTTGACTACGTTTGTGCTGAAATTTTTCATATCGATTGTTTCTCCTGCCTTTTGTATGTCCAGTATCACACTAATTTCAGTCACACACGGACTTAAGTGGATGATTTGATTGGCTACTTGATTCGTGAACTGGGTTTTGATTGGTCGAATGTGTACCGATTTGGTGCTGCTCGGCCATTCGGTGATGGGGAGCAGCACTATATATATATATAATTTCGAATCGACTTGATAATATATATTGTTTTTTTTCATTGGATTGTGTCACAGGTTGGGTTGGATCCTGGTTTTTCCCTTTTTGGCACAGATTTCATCTTTTTTTTGTCTTTTATATATACACAGTTCTACTTCTACGAACTCCTCTTCCTATATCTATCTATATTTCACGGTTGCATATATATAGAGGCGACGACCAAAGTCGAGTCACTCCCACATGTCCAGCTCGAGTTGTACCAGTTTTACATCAAAAAAGCACAGCAATTAGCGGGTGTCGTGGCCGTTCGCGCCATTTACGAGCGCGCGATGGGCCACCTCCCGAATGAAACTGTATGGCAACTGGGGCTTGAGTTCTGCCGCTTCGAAACGCTGCTGGGCGAATTGCATAGAGCCAGAGCCATCTATGCCCATATTGGGCAGTGTTGTGACCCCCGCCAACACGAAGATTCGTTCTGGAGCAAGTGGCATGCATTTGAAATCGAGCACGGGAACGAAGAAACCTTCCTCGACATGCTTCGGATCAAGCGCAGTGTGCAGATGTTGTACGCTACCGTCAATTATATTGGCACGGCTGCCGGCGCGCTCAATATGGTGGCTAGTAGCACCAACCAGGCAGCGCCTACTAGTATTACTAGTAGTAGTACGATTGTGCCCGGAGATGCCATGGAAACACTCGAAAAGGAAGACCAGACGACCAACGACGAAGAGATAGACATTGACGAACAGCCCGTGCCTGAAGCCGTGGTTCGCGGCAAAGTGTTTTAACTAGTAGTAGATACTAACTAGATGGGATTGTTTTTATTCGATGGACCAATCGCATGCGAGAGATGCTTCAATTATAGCCAATCAATCAACCTCGAGGACGTGATGTAGTAACTAACAGGTCCAATTTGATAGTATATCTTTTAAGATATACTATCAAATTGGACCTGTTAGGTACTACATCATGTCACTGAAGTAAAATACTCCGGAGTATATTAAAATATATTTTACTTCAGTACCAATTTGAGAACACGAATTATGAATTAGAACCAATGAAACGGTCGAAAGCAAGGTATTGATGAATTATAGCCAATCAAACGTGACATCGACCCAGGACTGGAGGTTTCAGGATTGAACCAATGGGAAGCGAGAGATTGATATATTATAGCCAATCAAACGTGAGATTGGGCCACCGAAAGACTAAAGATAGGCTCTTACAGGTAGTGCGGACATGCTACCGGCGTTCGAGTCGTGGCTGTCGACGGCATTCCCAGCGTCGCCGCCCAAAAAAGGGTCCAAGGGGGCGGCGGCGCGGCTGTTGAAGCCCCTCCACCGACGACCAGAGTTGAATCAGAATCAGACGAATCAGACTCAGAATCAGGTCCATCTCCTCCGACGACAGACGGCGTCGCTCCCGGCACTCGGCCAGACGCGTCCACCTGATCCCAAGCTTCAACAGCTCGCCCGGTTTCACTCTCTCGTGGCCGAATGCAGCTACGAATCCACAACCCCCACTAGTAGTAGTACTACTAGTCGTACTGCTACTACAAGTGGCCCCCGACTAGAGTTCTTCACGGCGCTAACCAGCGTCCACCAACAAGACATTGGAATGCACATGCCTTGTACATTCGTGTGCGATGGCGCCGGCAGCTTTACACTGCTCTACACTGTCACCCCAACAATCCTCCAAGTCAAAATGTACCCGTCGACAGTAGCCGTAACGAAGGACGCCCACCGCATTGTGAACCTGCTATCAAGAAGGAATACCTCTGACGCACAAACTGTGTTGGCTTGTTATAAGGTGCCACTTGGCCCTGGCAACGACATCCACTTTCTGCACTCCAAGCTGGCCATCCTACAGCATTTGGAAACCATTGCCCACAACCCTACCCAGTATGTATACTAGTACTACTTTTATTATTACTATGGGTGTATAGTACTACTACTTATTTTTATTATTATTCTGGGTGGATATGAGGGATTTGTATGGTTCTATAATATTAGAGTCGCAGCCTTGCAAGAGTATATCCAACCAAAGGGATCGAAAGCGTGGCTCGTGCGCAGTGTATGGCAGCCCAAACACCCGTTTGTATGGGTTCTCACAGACCAGAACCACCACTTTACCAACACAAAATGCATGGACAGTTGCCATATCGACAAAAGTACCTCGAGGTACTAACTACTACATTGCCTAGTAATACTAGTAGTAGAACATTTGACATTGCTCGTTTTGTATTCTGTAGCTCGTCGTGGCCGGTGCCCAAAGGCCTGACAGCAAACTTGGTGCGGGTACTGGAACCCACGTTAAACGTACGTTATTGTACTGTAAAATGTGAAGGTTCTATTCGAGACATACTAGTATATATCGGATTCTTGATAAATATATATATATTGATAGATATAATTGTCTAGGTGAAGTTTCAGCAGGTTGTAGTCGACTTGATTCAAAACGACCAAGGACAATGGTGGCTCATCCAAGTTAAAGCGTTTCGATGCAAACGAGCCACAGTATCGGCACAACGGGATTCTAGCAATCAATATGAACAAAATATTTCTCGGGTAAAAAATGTTTATTATATTATATATATATATATATATATATATACATATACAATTGAACGCAAAATCTTGACAATGTTTCGTCGTAGACAAGTACAAATTGTATGGGCAAGGGGTGTCAACGCCCTCCAAATCCAAACCTGTCGATGCTGTACAAGGCAAGTTACGCCACCGATCTATCGTATATGATTTTAATGCACATACTATTATTATATATATTTGTCCTGTTTTCAATATATAATTTTTTCATCCTAGGATTATCTGTTTGTAAACTTTTGCGTCGACCATTTCGAACACGAATGGGACCATCACCTGACATCACTCCATCCAAAAGACCGAAATCGGCTGTATAACCAAGTGCTATTTTGCGATACCTGCTACCCGCAGTACGCCGCCCAAAAGACCCCCGTTCTTTGCCCTTCTGTGCCCCCGTTACTACCCACGACACACACACGTTCACCTGCAAATATGCAGCCAACAACAAGACTACAAGAGAGAGCGGACAATACGAACGCATTGCTGGCGTCGTTGGAAGCAGCATTAATCGTGCCAGATGCCATCCAAAGTCCAGAATGTGACCAGTCCAGTCAACCAAACGACTTGGCTGCTACGACCACAGTTTGTGAGCCTCAAATAACCACAGCACGCCACTGCAGCAGTATGATTGAAAGGAAACGACTACTCCCACACGACGAGCCCCACGACGCAGCTTTGGAGCCCAGTGCCGTTCCAGGGACAGGGAGCACTACCCCTACTGTAGCCCCACAACTCATGGCAACGAATCACACAACTCAACTCACAAGTCCCGAAGTAGTAGTAATCAGCGCCCTTCCGGCACCGAAATCGGCCAGCCAACACCTCGACACGCTCTGGTCTAAACTGGCACCTCCCCCGCTCCACCCCCAGCAGCCCCCCCTGTCCACCGCACTCTCCTCTACTACTAGTACTACTAGTAGTAGTAGTAGCATTGTGGTGCTGCCCCAAGAGACGGTGGACGTGGACGCTGCGCGCATCTTCTACGACGAGCCATACAAAAATCAAGTGGTATCCACCATTCGAAGCCACTTCCACTCGATGCATGCCGTGCGAGTGGCGTGCCGCAGTCCCGATCTGGCGACGCTGGCCCTGCACACCCTGTTTCTAGAGATCCGAGACGAGTGCATCGAAGGGCAATATGGGCTTTTTAACGGCGCCTTTCCCGACAACACCACATCGCATACATTTACGCCGTACTATACAATGCCACTTTGTCGACCATAATATATACTTCGAAGTACTTCGAAGTAGTAGTCTTCTCGTACTAATCGTATAGGACTGTATTGTCCTGTTACCCTAACTTTGGACTGTTGTGCTGATTTGCCAAATCTATCGATCGATTCTTTGTATTGACTTTTGTATATAAAAATCGTCCAGTGTCACACTACTGTAATTGAAGGCACACACACACTACTCCAATTTCGAATCGACTAACAATACTTACGTTATATTAATGTTACCTAGTAACTTCGAAGTATTAATAGTGTTAGATTGGTTTTCATCTCATAAATATGATCTGCACCAGTATTAATACCAGCAGTTCAAATCGACACCCCAATATCCGCATACTAAACCAGCCAGTAATTCACCATCATTCGAAGAGGCTATTATGTCCTGATTGGAAACCTGCTTATGATCCGATATTTCAGTACATGGGCACACAGATTTACTGATTGACCAAATTTACTGATCTCAGTGGAGATGCTCTTATACTACTTCAGATTTATACGGATAACGTTACACTTACTAATTAATACCTAGATTGGACCTCGAACGTTCTCGTGGGTTTATATTAATACTAATATGTTAATCAATGTTGTCGACGACGTTTATGACGCTGTGGACGTGCCGCGCCATGTCGTACGGTGTGAGGATCATGTGTGGACACTTCACTTGGACCTTGGGCCGCCACTCGCCCGACGGCAGCACCACGAAATAATGTGCAGTGAACGTCGTTTGCTCCTGGTACCACCCAGTGGCGCCTTGAGTTGTACCAGGCATCGCCCCGAGCACCCCGCACGACTGGGCTTCACGGTATAGCGTCGCTCGGAACTGCTTTCGGCCGTGATGGCCTCGCACCATGCGCTGCACTTGGATTGCGGCATCCTTTGTACTACTAGTAGTACTACTACTAGTACTACTACCACTACTAGTAATCTCCAATTGGGCGTCGTGAGGAGCTTCAGCAGCCGTAGGCAGGAAGCTCTCGGCGACGGCCAGCAGATCTTGGGTAGTGGGGGCTGCTGCAAATGTAGTCGGATGGCTGCTTCTGTCTTTGTCTGGGCTGATCAGTGTTGGCGTCACATCATAGCTGGTATCGTCGTCGTCGTCGTAAGTTGTTTCGAACGAGTGGGATTGGAGCGAGTGCAAGGCGCTCGTTACGATGGAATGAACGGCGGATTCTGACACTTCGTGCACTTGGAGAAGCAGCATCGGGGGGCTAACGTTCTGGCTGGTGCTAGTAGTGGCACCTGGGGACGATGTTTCAATGGCGGGTACTTGCAGTGCCACGTCGACGATAGTAAGAGTTGGCGTGTCATTCTGGTCTGGAGGGTCGAGCACGGCGGACGGTATTGTCGACAAGCTACCATCCTCGCTAAAGGAACTTAAAGTGCTTGCGTCTGGCGTCGGAGGGTTGAGTTGAAGGTTTTCGAGCGCGGCGGACGGTATTGCCGACGAGCTACCATCCTCGCTAAAGGAACTTAAAGTGCTCGAGTCTGGCGTCGGAGGGTTGAGTTGAAGGTTTTGGCGGCCTTGTAGTGCAGCCACCTGCAACCGTGTGTCAGCTGGAACTTGAGGTGCCTTTTGTAACCCAGTGTGAACTTGAAGTGCTTGTGTGGAAACTGGGATTTGCAGAACTTCCTGAAACTCCGCGTGAACTGGACGGGCTTCGTCGAATCCCTCCTTGTCAGCTCGAACTTGACGTTCATTCGCCGCAACTGGAACTTCAAGTGTCACGTGCAGCCCCGTGTCATCTGGAACTTGAAGTGCGTCCTGGCACCCCATGTCAAGTGGAACTTGAACTGTCGCCGTGTCTTCCGTTCGTGCCCTCTCATAGTCACCATGGACCACCACATCGCGCGCATGTTGTACTTTGAGTGCGCGCACTCCACGCACGCCCGGCGTCGAAGCTGTTGCATCCGCCGTGAACGGGCGCACGGGGGTGGCACTTGGCTTTTTCCGCACGCGCACTTCAAAGCCCTCGACATCGAGCACCACTTCCTTCACTTTGGAAAAGAGCAACTCGGACGGCGTGCCCATATACGCATGAAAGAAGCACTCAAATGGAGTCTGCTCGACGCCAGTTGTGGAAGAAGGCGTTGCTGGCCGTAGATGGCACGTTGCTGTAGAACGTTCGTCAAAATGTGGTGGATTGTCGAGGCTTGTTTCTATGCTGGGGTTCAAGTGGGGCGTTGGTGCAGCAATAATTTCACTCTCCTGCGATCGAGTATGGGCTGCATAAGTGTGACGAGGTGCGGTACCGCTTTTCGTCGGCGTTTGTGGTGCTGGTTTCGTCCTATTGGGCATGGCTGGTTTGGCGCTGCTATTGGCTGGCTTTGACGAATTTGGTGCTGCTTTCATGGACAACAGACGCGGTTTAATAGCTGGCATGGCCGTGGTGTAGCTCGTGGCCGGGGCCGCCACTCGTCGCTTTGGTGGCTTCTTCTTGACGAAAGGAGACCTTGGGAGCGAACTTATGGCTTCGATGTCGTGCATCCGCTTGGAAGATGCAACCACCATGGCGTGCACTTCGTCTTCGAGGCGGTCGCTGTCGTCGCCCTTTCGCATCATGCGATGCAACAACTTGGACTCGTGCGCGCGCGCCAACGCAAACTCCATCTCCAGCAGTCCCCGCTTCTCCACCGACTTGCACTGCGCCAGCTGCAGCTCCCGCGAGTTCTCGGACGCGATGAATGTCTCGATGATGCGCAGGTTCTTCTGCTGCACCGCCGCCGCGGACGCCGTGTCCAGCATCGGCACACCGCGCCGCGATGCCATCCCTCGGCGGTTACAAACAAACCTGCAACCGTCATGCGAAAGGTAGTACGCATACGAAACCGAATTACGATAAATCGCCCTGAAATTACGCATTACTCGTAGCAGAATGCCAGTAATTCCGGGTACTTTAGCAGGATCGTTCGATTATTTTTCGTGTTTTTTTGTATCAAATCGACAATATTTACATTATTGCTTTATTTGCTTTATTATTTGAAGGTATTTTTTCTTAATTATTTCAAAACAGTTCTTAAAATGAATACATGACCTTGTAATACATGTTTGATATAATATTTTATGTTTATATTCGTTATTTTGTTTCGACATTTGCTTGAGCAGCAGTAGCATCGTCGACGGCGGCAACATCTGGCGCAGATTCATGAGGTGGCGGCACCCCTTCCTCCAGCGGTAGCGCCGCATGCTCTTCCGCCCCTGGCTCGTCTTCCAAGTGAGCGTCTGCAGCGTCTACTAGGGGTCGATGGCTGACAGTCGTGAAGTCGAACTCGGCTTCGCTGCCGCTGTCTTCATCTAGTTGTTGCAAGCTCGTAGGCAGTTCAAACTCTGCTTCACCTTCGTCTTCAATGTGAAAGCCCCCTCGAGGTCTCGCATCTTGCCCGCCGCTCTCCTTGGGTGGTCCCGAAGCTCGTTGTTCCTTCAACAATGCATCTTCGTAGTCCTTCATGGCCACCCATTGTTCATGTGCCGTGGGAGGAGCCGGCACGTCTTCTTCAGGCTCTCCGCGTTTGCGTTCCTGCTGTCGAAGGTCTGCAATGAACGACGACACCGCTGCCTTCTTGGCCAAAGCCTCTGTTTTATCGACCAGGTCTTCAAAGTTCAAGCCGGGGTATAGCTCGTACGCCCACTCCTTGTACGCGGTGATGAGCTCCCGCAACGCTTCACCTTCGTTTCCATGCGTCACTGCCCGATTGAAATGGGTTGGGAACGTTGAGTACACCAAGGACAACCCTCGCGGCCCCAGCAAGTGCTGCTCGGAGAAGGTGGCCCGCTTCTTCGTGACCTTGAGCGGCGCTGGTTCGTCGTCCTTGTTCTCTTCATCCAGAGGTGCATCTTCCTCCGTTATATCCAACGCACGGTCCCTCTTCTTTGATGCGCTGTCGCCATAGCTTCCAAGGACCGCCGAACTGTCTTCCCATCCCGACATGTTGCGCGGCAAAATTGGAGTATTAAAAAACGCGGGGAATTGGACATATTAAAATATGGAGGAGGTATTATATTTTACAGTTAATGCTAACATAGAGTCTAGTAGTACTATGAAAAGTACTGAATGAGTACTACTGTAAGTTCGTACCCCATCGATCACAAAAGCACTAACTGTTCCTCTAATACTACTAGTACTAGTATATAATTGTTGTGTGCTACAGTACTACCCGTAGAACTTACGAAGTACTATTAATAGTACTACTTGGAAGTACGTCTTAGTATTAATATAATACTACCTCCAGACGGAAATAGAAGTCCCTTTTGGTGAAAATTAATAGAATTGGTGATTTGTTTGATGGTGTTATCTGTTTTTGCCCTAAGTATGCTTGTTGTAAAGGTCTTTGTATGATCCGTATCCCTGTGAAATATAATACCTTAAAGATGAATACCCTAATGGATAAGGCGGTTCTACTCTATGAATGTTTGTGGTTTGCATGCATTCTACCTGCATGAACAAATAGTCAGCAACAATTTAAACTATGTTTTGTACAGAATATAAATTAATGCAGGTCTATAATATAATCAGTATAAAATCGTGACTCGTATCCGGATACATATAAATAGACTCTATAAAATAATTAATTCCGGTTAATTCTGAAAAAACCTCTAAGAATGAAAAGGGACTTCTATTTCCGTCTGGAGGTAGTAGTAGTACGTACTTACCGTATAACGTTAGTACTAGTATTATAGTAGTAATTTTACTGTTAGTATAAATACTATTAATAATATTAATACTTCGAAATATTGTAACGTAAACAATCATTGATTCGCCGAATTTTGATTGTGTTGTGTGGACCTTATCTCATGCAGTTTTTACAACTTGAACTTAGTAACGTTAGTTGCATTTTTATAATCCTATGTCCAAACTCTATAGTCAGATTCAAACACAATTCAATTTAAATGGTTGGAATTGATGTAATAAAACTGTAAAGATGTCCATTCCAAACAGTAAATCATTGATTTGCCGAAATTTAGGGTTCGTCTGGTAACCGGAAATATTGCAATAGTTGGGGATTACGAAAGTAATAGCCGGATAATCCATAGGACTGCGAAACAAATAGTTTCGTCTGAGTTTCGTAACCCCAACCAATCCAGATTTACAGTACTTGATATTTGTATACCTATCGAGTAATCGACAAATTGGCTGGGATTACGAAACTTCTACG